GGGGGGGGGATCAGATGAGGTGGAGCAAGGGTGGCAAGTTTTCATATCAGAAGGCAAGAAGTAGCTTTTGCTAATTCTTAAAAAAAAAATACATCAAATGTCCTGTACAAAGTACATTATTTTAGACTAATGTAGTCATCGATTAAGGAAAAAATCAAGTGAAATTGACAAAATTGAGTCACAAAGCCAAGATTGAGCAATATATTGGACAAAGACCTTATGTATCATATATTGTGAACTGAAATGACAGTTTACTCGGAAACAGGACATATTGATCATCGTTATTCTAGTTATCGTACCTTGAAAGCTGACATGAGTGAAAAGCCCCTAATTACAGATGGCTTCCTAACTCGTGTCTTCGTTGCAGGTGACATCTCTTTGCACAACTGCTGAGCAATCTCCTTGAGCAATACCATCTGTGCGTTATCAGTCCGCATAGAAATAATAGCCTGCCTCATTGACTCGCGATCAGCCTCAAGTGCCTGAAGCCTAAGGTACAGTTTAGTGACCTCAGGATCTCCAAAATCTGTATGATTTAATGAACCCCTTGGGGTAACTGTATAATCATCACCTACTCCAACCGTTGCCTTGGGCTCGACGTTATATCTAGCCTCCTGGTGTATAGAATCAATAGTGTACACTCTGTCACTCATGTCATCTCCAACTTGTGATGAATTATCCACCTTTGGATACTCCTCTGTTTGTGACTGTTCTTTCCTAGTGAAATCTGAGCTTATTTCTTTAATTTTTGCAAAGGGAGAAGCTAAACTATCAGTTGAGTATTTCCTTAAATGTCTCAGCCTCCTAGGGGAGTGACCAACTATAACCTTTTCAAGGACATTATTCTTAAATATCTCTCCATCAGTAGTGCTTCTTGGTGTCTTCTCCAGCTGATTGATCCTATCCTCCAAATCACGCAATTGATCATGCGAACGTGGGGTCTCTCCAAATGCATATTTCTCGATATCCACCACCTCGTTGTCAACCTCTGAGTATATTTGATTCTCAATTATATAGCATTTCAAGGGAGGGTAATCATATGTAGGAATTTGATCAAATTGCTCATCAATAATAGTTTCATCAGCCATAGTACTATTGTTTCGGCTAAAACGGCCGCCCCCATTCTCTTTCTCACTCTCATGACCCTCCACCTCAGATTCAGTGAGCCCATAACTCATCATTCTGTGTTTATACATTTGTACCTCACAAGTCAAGGACTGAATTGTTTGCTCCCTCTTGTACAACAAATCCTCCAATGCCATTATCTCTTGCAGGCCATGTGCCTTTTCCTCTTCAGTCAACCTCTTGAATTGTTTTAATTCCATTTGAGCTTCTGCCTTTTCTCTTTGCACTCTCAATATCATTGACATTGCCTCCTTGGTTGCTGAGGAGGATGCATTTCTTTCTTCCTCTAACTCACTGCTTAAATCCTTAATCGTCTGTTGTTGGCTGTTCACCATTTCCCGAAGTGCTGCACATTCGTTTTCGAATTCAACACGAGCCGTTTGAGGTAAGATGAACCCTGGAATGAAAAGCTTTTTCTCATCATCACTTTCAGCATATTCATCATACTTTCGCTTCACAGACCGAAACCAGGTCCCTGAAAAGGATCTTTTCATCATACAACAACTGCACTCGCGGTCACAACATTTGGCCTGGCTGGTTGACAAGGGCAAATTTTCAGAATCCATTATCCTACCAAAAACCAGTAAATCCTTCAGCCCCAAATTGGAAATCAGTTCTAGTAAAACAAATGAGAACAAAAGAAGAGACCAAGCTTATAGTCTATATGGTATCATAGGGGGGTTTCCCACACAATAGGTGTGATTCGGTTCCCAGTCTCTCTTTCCCCTTCCCTTACCCGGATTCCCTTACTTAACAAACCTTTTTAGAAAAGAAAACACCAAAGAGGGGATTAAATCCTCTTCAAAAACCTCCCAAACCAGAGGCAAATCTAACCCTTCGCAGTGGATTCAATTGAACCTTTGCTTTCTGTTCAGACAATGTGTACATAGGTTAAAACAAGGAGTTTTAAAAATGTATACACATATATAATAGATCACATCCACTGACTCTAATCCTGGAATATTTACTTGGACTCTAATCTTGGATTCGCCTCTGTCCCGAATTCCTCCCTCTTCCAATGGATGTGGCCATATATTCACGTATCCCTCGACTTACACATGATTGGATTTGCCCTTTCCTCATTCACAGTAGGGTAAACATACTCCTGCAAAACACCAGAATTCATCTATAAATTCAGAGCCCCCAATAAATATTGAAAATATCCAGCACAAACACAAAACCACAAAATACACATAAAATTATATATTTGAACCATGGACATAGAGGCGAATCCAGTATTGAAAGCATGTCATCAATTCATATTTATAAATAAGTCTAATGTTATTTTTTAATAATTTTTTTATATCCATAACATGCATGCATGAACAGACACTAGCTAATACGTACACGTGCATCCTCATACATGCATATAAAGAGAAGGAAAGAAGATGATCATTCGGGTACCTGGAAATAGGACACCGGAAACTGAGTTGATGCTCAGAAATGGAGGGGAAATTTTCCAGGGAAAATGGAATGTTGCACTTAATTATCTTTGGGCAGAAAAAGATGTTCTACACCTCTACGATATTTAATCCAGGAAAAAGACCATTACAGAAGGAGAGAGATTCCTAATTGAGAAGGAAAATCAAACAAGGCAGAGGGAGAGAAAGAGGGTGGGGGAGGGGTATTTGGATACCTCCTGTTTGGAAAATAAAACATGGGAAAATGATGACCGTTAATGTTGGTTATCATAGTTGGATGATTATCCTGTATTCAGGAGACGAAGTACGTTTGTACTACGTGGTGACACACCTATGCAACTAGTAAGTCAATACAGGGTTGATCAGGAGAACCTGTAATTAAGCTGCCTTCTAAATCCGCTCTCAAAGTACCATTTCGGATAAAAACTTAGCTTCTTTGGTGAAGCGCACAGCCAAAAATAGGACTCGACGTGCATGTGGGTGACATTATATATATATATATATATCGAGCTTTGAACATACGTTAGTTTTGAAGAGTCCGGAACCAAAACATTGCTTTTTTGCACACAAAGCACAAAAATAGGTGGAAAAAACAACGGATGACCAAAGTAGATATTACGCATTTATGCAATGCGCTATACCTTAACGGCACATTTGTCCGTTAAGGTATAGCGCATTTGTTACATGCGCTATATGTAAACTTTACTAACCCTATATGAAATTTACTGGGCCACCAATAATTGAGGGTATAGCGCATGCATAATTGAAGCTACATATATAGCGCATCTTATATATGCGCTATACCCTAATGATTCTTTAGGGTACAAATGGGTGCAACTTTTCAGATCGACAACTTTTTCAGGTCGACATGCAGAGGCGAATCTAGGATTTTAATTCTATGGGTTCAGCATTTAAAGTTTTTAGCATTGAACCCATTATATTTTAAAGTTATGGGTTCATATTTACTGTTTATTATAAATTTATTAATTTTTACATATAAATTTATGCTTCGCGTCGAAAGTACTGGGTTCAGTTGAACCCGGTAGATGTATGCTGCATCCGTCCCCGTCCACATGACAATACACATAACACATATTGGTGTTGCGCTACGTTTAATATACAAGTTCGTGTAGTTTAGTTCTTCTTATGTTGCACCAAGAGATCAGTATTCAAAGACCATTTCAAGAACCATTACAATATTCGTTTCAGAAATACCACTAACATTAAATAAGTGGTTTAAGAAGAGGCAAAAAGGTGAAGGTAGTTCAATAGATCCACATGGAACACATCATAACACAATCGATCCCTACCTTGAAAAAAATATGCTAGTTTGCTATACTGATTTGGTTGATGACAAGTGGTATGGTGTTCTACATCCCTTGAAAAATAAGCCTATCAATATACACACTGATCTCAAAGTTGCAGGGCACATTATTGAGGACGAAGCGCATTCTACAAAGCCTGAAGGTATGCGAATTTGGGGCGAAAAACTACAATGAGTTCCCCTTTACTCAAAACGATGTGATTATGAAGTACTATGCTACTGGCATGGGCTAGTTGTACCGCAAGCACTGTCTGTAACCTTCCAAACAAACACACACAAAGATGAACCAGAAGTGATTCGGCATTTGATGAAGGAGATTTTAGAGATGGAAACGGCACCAGCCGTTCATCATGCACTGGATGATCTTAACTACCTGCAAGAAATGGAGGATCAGTCTTGGGATTTATTGAAAAATGAAAAATTGCATAGAGACATTGATCATCCTGTTTTCCCAACAGTTGTCGAGTGGGAGGGACTACCTAAGTTTTTACCACAGACGTTGGACGTAGGAGTTCCGTATTGTTGTAGAAATCAAGCAAGGGGTTTTATTGATGATAGCGATGAAATATGATAAATGTGGACAATTGGGGCCTAGATTACGATGCCTTCGGTCCGGAAGGGTGCGTACAAGATGTTGACGAAGAACATGAAGACAATGACAATGAAATACTGTCAGACAGTGACAGTAATGGCGAATGAAAGTTGTTATTTATTTCTTGGGGAATATTTTAGATTGTTGTATTGAATATTTAATGCTAGATATAAATTAGATAAAACCCTACTAGAAACATAATTTTATTTCATAAATTTTGCAAACTGAACCTTTACAAACATTTAGAACAACAAAAATACTACAACAAAACACTACATTTATCCTTGGTAATTCGCCACAATGGATGAACTGCCACCTGCAGTTGAATTACAACCGCTTCCTAAACCAACTGAAGGACATTTACAACGATCGTGTCCTGTTTGGGAACATATGCCACATTTACGCGCATAAGCGGTATCACCAACATCTATTTGGTTTTTGATATAAACTAAGAGTCTACCTAGGTTCTCTATACAGTTCCCACAGTAAGCAACAGATTATAAAACCAAATAGTATAGGGAACCAGGTTCTCTATCTGTTCCCACAGTAAATTGGCAACAAATAAAGAACACGCGCACACTACAGTAAGTAAATGACACAGAGGAATTTTACGTGAAAAATTTCCAGGTCGACGAGATTAAAAACCGCTACCTACCCTTATAGGATTCCAGCTTCACTACTGAGCAATCTTTAGATTACAACCTATTGTAACCTAGGAATTAACATCTTAATCCCTCACTAACTTGTAACTATACTATTAAAAGCCACTTTGTAATAACTCTATTACAAAGATTTAATCTCTCACTAACTTGTAACAACACTATTACAAGCCACTCTGTAATAACTCTATTACAAAGACTCCACAACTCGACTAACTCTAGTCAAGACACAAACACAAGGGTTTATGATTTACAAAGGGTTTCCTACACAATGCTTCTAAGTAAGCTAAGTAGGAATTACAAGTAAGAACTTTAACAAAGATACAACATAATTAAGGACATATAATAACTCAATATGGGGAACTGGTCCATTGTTATGTTGTTCTTTGTTCTTGATGCCCTTGAGAATCACTTGCAAGATGGACACACACTTGAGATAATGCTTGATAAGTTCTTGAATGTGCAAGTGATTTGTTTTACCTTTGCTTGATGTTAATATCTCATTTGTAACATCACTTGGATGATGTAAGCAAGGTAGGTAAAAAGTCTTCCCTGAAAAGTTGACTGCAGCACTGTTCCTGCACGGTAGCGTGTGCAGGCAGCAACTTTCCAGCTGGAAAGGTGACTTCGTACAGACTCCTCGAGAACTGGTAGGGACTTGGTCCGTCAGCTGTTTCTTCCACTATGAAAAGTTGAATCTTATTTTCACACTGAATCCCAACCTGGAATCTTGTGATCTTAAGGTCTTGAGAATGTTTAAAGCTGTAGAGTTGACTATACGATGACTAGGAGAACTGATCCATATCTGTTCCCTTTGTTGTTCCCTTATCTGATTTTGTTGAGAATTGAACTAGACATCTGACTAGTTACTCTGGACGCAAGAGAACTAATTGTATCAGGTTCCTTATCTGGTTCTCTCATGAAGTTTGTCAAATCATCAAAATAAAAGACGCATAACTTATGGATTTCCCCCTTTTGGATGATGACAAACTTAGAATTGATATTCCCTATGAGAACCAGATTTTCACATTGTTCCCCTTATGAATCAGCCATATTCCCCATGAGAACCAGACCAAAGGAACTTATCACAATTGTTTCTTCATGATTGTTTGGCAAATCATCAAAACACAAAATAACATAACTTATCAATTTCCCCCTTTTTGATGATGACAAACCCAAAATTAATGTTCTCCTTGAAAACTAGATTCCTCACATGTTTCCCCCATTGATCAGACCTAGAATCAACATGTTATCAGCAACGTTCTCCATGCAAAGCAAAGCTATCTTCCATGCACAACACAACATATCAATTCGATTTTGTTCCTCCCCCAGGTTGACACCTATATAACTTCCCCTTTTAGCATCATTGAAAAGAATAACAGAAGAAGCATAGCCAAAAAGAAGTTCAGCAACATTAACTTATGTCACTTGGGCAACACAACATAAACAATAACAAGAACAACAAGTGAATATCATTGCACAAAATAGAGTGATTGCCCATAGTAGAGTGACTATAACAAAAGCACAATAGTTTCAACAATACAGAATATAACAATTTAAACAACTAAAGTACCAATGTCATCAAATATAGGGATCAAAAGAAGATAGGAATTCGAGGGAATTTGGAAGGAGTGAAAGACATGGATCATTGGGCAGGAAGAAAAGTAAGGGGATAAGGCATTGATAAGCTTGTAAATTCATTCATTCACAATCATTTGATCAATGATCATTTGCTCTCTTAGTTCCTCCACATGTTTCCTTAATCTTTCATTCTCACCCTTCAACTTAGCATTCTATTCTGCCAAGGGTCTACGGGGACCTGGTTCTCTATCTATCTGAGTAGGCTGAACCATCAATCAAATCACCAAGAATCTCTCCAAGCTTCTCCTCATCAAGAACAAACTCAGTCTCATGCACACATAGCATCAGAGTAACACATACAACATAGAAGTTTTTACTTCTTCTTCATAAACATTGGGACTTGGAGGGAAAAGAGGTGATTCTATTTTTGGAACTCAACAATGTCAAGAAGTTCCTTCAGTTTTCAGTAGTATCATAGTCAATATTCTGCCTAACAACACTTTTTGAGAAATCAGAGTCTTCTACCTCTCCAAACCAGATAACTCAACCTCTTGCTTCTGTAAGGAACCAGGTTCCTCACTCACACTACCCTTTCTTTCCAGAGCGACCATGTCTCCCTCTTCTTCTTCTCAATCTGTTCACCCCTATCATCTGCCGTATCTTTCTCAGCCAACTTTCTTTTCTCTATTTTATTGAATTCTTTCTCACAAATGAGGATTTTTTTTTCATTCTCTCTTCCACAATCACCACATCAGCCAGTCACACCACTTCATCATCAATCAGCCTACATTTATCAATCCTTTTTACTAGATCGGAAGTTCGTTTAAACACAGAACTCAAAAAGAAAAAGATCATCATTAGAATTAATATCCTAAGAAGAATTTGAGGGACCAGGTCCGTCATTCAGTTCCCTTTTTTTAGCATATTTACCGATTCCTCCATCCTTCAAGGCTTCTACAAACCCACCAACAATTTCATCCTCACTCTCTAGAATGTTAGACCTACCCCGTTCTTTTTCAGTTAAAGTCCCATCAAAATCTACCAAAGA